CAGGAAAAGCTGTTGATGACAACTGACGGAAGGTTAGACTGAAGATCCCTTGAAAGTAAACTACTGCACCATCAGTTCAGGAATAGAACCCCATAAACCCTAAACCCTCAACCCTATACGACCGAGGCAAAGGCTTTTAGCAGCGGAGCTCCGTTCCTAAGCTCTCGGAGCTCTATAACTCAGGGTTTCATAGGGTTTATAGCTTTGGTTTAGGGTTTAGGGTTTGTAGCTTTTTGCGTGTTTTGGGCTTTTAGGGGGTTCAGGGACTGATTACCCATAGGCCCCATAGTGCATGGTTCCTTCCTGGGATTACCGAATAGGATCCTAAATGTAAGCCACAAACAAGGAACTACTATGGGGCCCAATGGGTACGTAGTAGGGCTCTATCAATGCTTCAGGATTTACGTTTCCGGTTGCTTTCATTTTTTAGGGGTTTCGAGTTTCGGGATGGGGGTTGGGGTTCAGGGTTGAGAGTTTCAGGATTTAATACAGGGGCCTTAGATTAGTAATGGAGTTCCTTTAAGGGTTCCTTGAAAGGGTTCGATAAGGGTAACTATAAGCGTTAATAATTAGAATAGGGTCTTGGGGTATACTATACTATTCATGATATCAAGGAGCCCGCCCAAAATAGCGTAGGTAACTATTACCTAGGCCCCTGCAATAGGCGGTTTCAGCACTCACTCTTGGACTTGCCTAGGCGAGATTCCTGGTACGCGACGAAAGCAATACCCAGAGAGCCTAATACCCCTTAACTAAGGAATATAGCCTAAATCACAATGTGAAGCCCCTTTTCATTTAAGCCATATTCCTTAATTAAGGGGTATTGGGCTCTCTGGGTAGGCGGTTTAGGGTTTACGCCCTCACACCTCGCACAGGGGAGGTGAGGTTCAATAGCAGCAGGTTGTTGGCGTGATACAGACAGATGGGCAAGCCAGGGTTAAGGGTTTAGGGTCTTGGATTTTCAGGAGTTCCTTTATAGTATAATTGTTATAAGGAGCCCGAAGATGCCCGAAGGAAAAATTACTGGAAGCTATTTAGGCTTCTACATTTATGTTCCTGGTTTTATGGCCGTGGGCTTCAGAATACGCAGCCCAAAAACACGGACTAGACCCTAAAGCCCTAGACTGGAAGTATAAGGGTGTTGTCTTAGTTTATAGGGTTTACTATAAGTGAGAGAGAGAGAGAGAGATATATATATATATATATCTATAAGGGTTGTCGGTAAGGTCTGAATAATTAGATTCGGACTCAGCGGCATTCCAAAATGCATCAACACACAAGTTTAAAGGGACTTTCCGTGGATACTGTTGCTGGCTATTTCATGGGATTGGCTGAAAGCAAAAGCTGTAAGCTGTACAGTCGACCTCATACAACGGACAATCGGCAGCGGAGCATAGAAGTGTGCATACCCGTTAGATTTGGTATTGTTCAGCCTGTCCTGCAACGTGAAGAAACCCACTAAGCGCCGTGCTTGTCTTGCACAATGCTGCTGCCGTTGCTGCTGCTGCGATAGGGTCCGGCCTCAGGCATTGTACACAGCACCACACAAGCATACATGCATGCACGGGCATACTGCATGTATACATGAATTAACAACAGGCAACAAGCCTGTGAGCAAACAAACAAACAGAACAAACATGCAACATGTATAAACATCTTATGTATAGACATGTGCAGTGCGTTGTTTACACTGCAGCAACTAACAACATCAGCTGATGGTCTTGCCAGTCTGTGGCCGGAGCATACAGCGCATTGACGTCTGCGCCCTTCTGCACGCACATCTCGACACCCTGTTCAGATATGGGCCAGGCGAGCTCAACATCTTCGAATTAAGCGCCCTGAACTCGTGTGAGCGGGGTATTCGAAGATTGCTAAACAACCACTGATAACAGCATACAATGACAAAGACACTGATAAGGTTGAAAGTTTGACACCGAAGAATAACAAAACACGCACTCGTAACAATGACAACCGCCACCACAAAGCTTTGAAACCAACGCCCTAAAATAAAGCTCACAGCCAGCTGAGGGTTTCTGCTCAGGGTCTGTTAGTCTGTTTAGGGTTTAGGGCTTGCGGGGGTTATGTGTTCAGGGTTCCTTCTCACAGGAAATCCGAGAATATGTTGGACTGGTGGTGAATTTTTAGCAACCGTCGGGAAGCTTTTTGGGTCACGGGGCAAGCCACTATAAAGGAGTTCTAATATAGGGGCCATAGTACTCAGAATAGAGTTTTTGGGCACATTGTACTATAGTTATAATAAGGACCCCCCCGCCCAACAAAAAAAGTATAGGTAATTATTAAGGCCTCTACACTAGGGTTCAGGTTGGCCTATGCCAAAGGCCCGGAATCCTTTCGTCACCTCATCTGTCCAATTAGGGTTTAGGGTTTAGGGTTTAGGGATTTTGTACTTGGACTTCTGGAACCGACTTTACACAGCTTCTGGGCCTTGAGATGTCTGCAGTTCATCAGGAAATATGCCCTAGACTCACTGAGTGTAAGTTTATAAACCCTCATTACTAAACTCAAAACCCTCCCAGGGTTTGCATCGTTTCACCGGTTGCAATGACTTGTGTCGCTATGGCTGCGGGGTATAGTCGTCGACGAGTTAGGTGCAGTTGAAGATATTAACATTCATGATTGTTGGCAGGCTTGCCGCAAGAAGCACCGTACTCATTCGACACCCAAGAATCTACGCACCAAAGCCCCATATTTCCCTTAACCCGAAACCCTGAACTCCTAAATGGCCTAAGCCCCCCGAAGCCTCGAACTTTCAACCCTAACCATTGCGCGCCTGTGAGCCCCAATCCCTGAACAAAACCCCGAAGCCTCCAAACCCCTCAAGGGGCTCCTTTAAAGGCTCCCTTAAGGGTTCCCTTTAATGGTTCCCTTAAAGGGTTCCCTTAAAGAGGCCCTTAAAGGGTTCCCTTAAAGGGTTCCCTTTAAGGGTTCCCTTAAAGGGCTCCCTTAAAGGGGCCCTTTTTCAGGGCTGCTTTATAGGATCCCCCCGGTTCCGGGCGTGGGAGCCTCTAGCCTTCGATTTGTGCCCTCGCGTGCCTTCTGGACAAGAGCCGCGGGCTTGCGGGTTTAGGGTTCAGCATGTAGCTGTTCTTACTTTGTGCTGTTTTTTGTTGTGGAGAATGGCTTCGGGTCTATGTAGTGTCTGGGGTTGCTATATGACTCCCAAATCCACCCCCATCCCTAAACCCATCAGCTAGAATCGGCGGCCTCTGGCCACTGCAGCAAGATCGCGGCCACGATCAGCCTAGGGGTCGACGCTGCTGGGGTTTCCTGCGGTTTTTTAGACACTCCATCTACTACTCTTTATTCGACACTAAATGCCCATTCTTTGGGACCATACACAGTTTTTTGAGGGTACGAGGATGGCTTTGGGTTACAGCTCAGAACTCCAGGATTTTAGGGCTTCAAAAGCTTGGCTTCTGTGAGTTGGGGGTTGAAGTTTCGTGTTTGTTCGTCAGCTCTTTTCCGATCCGCCAGATAGCCAGGGTTTAATATAGGGGCCTAAATCATTAGAATAAGGTCTAGGGCATATTATACTATGATTATATTAAGGAACCCACAAAATATTATTGGTAATTCTTAATCATTTGGTTTAGGGCCTTGTGGGACGAAGCGGGTCGAATGCCTAACGCAAGTCCTCGGGTGCAAAGTTGCAGTTTCGCCCTTGTGCCCTGACAGACCGGCAGGTATAGCCCCGCTTTAGAAGCCGATTCTTCATGCCGACGCCCTGGCATCTTGTACCCGGCTGAAATGATGGGATAGCTCTCCTAAAACCGCCCGAACCAGCTTCGAGGATGAAATTGCACAGGCTCCGTGACCCCTGCAGTCTTGCGCTGCATGATCTGGGTGGATGGCTACGAGAAAGCACAGAAGAACCGTTCATGTTACAATCAGCCCTATGCTTTGCATACACGTTTGAAACAAGCATGCGCGATCATGAACTCGGGAGCTTTGCAGAGTGAAGTAGCAGACAGCTCGGCAAATATGAAAAAATAGTCATGTGAATGTCACTGCATGCAAGTACGTAGGCAGGTAGGTACGTAGGCAAGCAGGGAGGGAGGTAGGTAGGTTGGCAGGCAGGTATATCTTCATGTGCGTACATACAAACACATCAGTCATACGTCAGTAAATCCATTAACCATCATCCAGACAGACAGAAATGCATGCATATTGATAGATAGACAGATAGATAGATAGATAGATAGATGGGTAGATCGATAGGTCAGATAAGATAAGATGGGTTACATTCGATTAAGCTGAATGACAGTATACAATAAGACAAGGTAACATAAGACATTCTGAGAGAAATGAGTCAAAACAAATATTAAATGATCAGGAGCATCGGTAGATAGACAAGTAGATCAATAAACATATAAGTACGTAGACAGGTAGATAGATGGGTGGATAGACAGATGGATGGACAGATCGACAGATAGGTAGTTAAGTGAATAGGTAGACACTTAGAAGGAATCAGAAAAACGATGGACAAACACACAGATAAGTCGATAGGTAGACAAACAGATAGATGGACAGATACACAGATCGACAGGTAGCTAGCTAGGCGGGTGGGTAGGCCGTTATTATTTGTCTTAAAGCACGCAGAGGCAACGGCGAGAGAGAGAGAGAGAGAAACAAAAAAGAGCTGAGTACAATCCGGGGCAAGCTTCGGTATCGAAGTTGGCTCACCGGAATCAGGGCGCCACCGCATTGACTCCCAGAAAGCTTCCGTGAGCTTCACCTGCCGCGGTCTAGCTATTCACACGACAGATTCTCCAAGCCAACCAGCACCTAGCTACATGGGAGTCTCCGAAATTCGAGTACCTTATTTTGGAGTCCTTATAATAGGGATCCTACTATTTAGGCTACTATATTAGGGTCCCCTATTTTCGGAAACCCCCACATGGAACAATGTGGGTGGATGTGGGGATTGCACTGCTGCAGATCAGAAGTCTGCACACCAGATCAGATCAATCCGGTGCTCTGATCCGTCGACGCCGAAGCTTAGTGCTGCATGCGGAATCTCTACAGGCTATGCGAACAGTACCTGTGTTGGGCCGTAAAGTCTATAAGCAGTACCCCTTTGGGCTGTTTGAAAGTTTGGAGCCCGAGGCTTAAGGGAATCGTTCCGGCTGGAACTCAGGATTCCACCGGCGCTATGTTCGACAAGCCTCCCTGGAGGAATGCACGCCCCATAGATGTGACATTCGCCCCTCTGTCCCCGCGAACCTTCCTGCTTGCACATAGGAGCCCTCTTAAGTTTCTATAGACTTAGGGCAGAGTAGGTTTGAGAAGTCTTAGAAAGATCAAGCTCAGGGAAATAAAGCTACATACATGTGCCATCCACTGGCTTAAGCAGTTTAGAATTTCAAAGCCCAGACACCCATGACCAGACTTTGGAAAATGCCCATCGGGTTAGTACCAAGTCTTTCTGCCCGCAGAACACAGGCTGCAAGCCCAGTCTCTGTGTCACCCCCGTAAACCCTAAACCCTGAACTTCGTAGCCCACTAAGCCCTGATTGCTGAAACCAAGACTGAGCCTGAACCCCTTCCCACGATCATAACCCCCAAATCCTGACTGCTCAGGGCTTTTCCTCGACATCCTACCTGGACCCTATAGGGTTTAGGGCTTAGGGGTCTCTGTGGTTACCTGGCTGTCTTCTAAGAGGATCCGATCTAACTTCAAAGTGGCGAAGCACAACTTGGAGGCTTAGGAAGGCCCGTCCCGAACCCGAAAGTCCCTACCTTGTTTAGGGTTCCTCATTATGCGTTTCCCTATACCAATCCCCCAAAAAAGGTACCATCATTATGGATTTCCCTATACCAATCCCCCAAAAACTGTACTTAGGTTCTTTAAAGTCCAGGTCAAGTCTATACGGCTCAAGGCCCTCTCGGGCCTCCTGCTCCGGGGATGTTCCCCCATCAAGCAGCTTAGCCAAGGACTCACTGTCCCGGAGGAGAAGGGCCTCCATGACGGGAAGTGCACGCGCCTCCGGAAAGGCGTTTGGGTGCTCAACCTTGACCCGTTAGGTGTGATCAGATATAGCGGCCTTGAAATGATAGAACAAGGTTTTGAGCATATGTTGCCTTGTGACTACGCAGGAATACCATACTGATTACTCCGAGCGTTCGTCATTGTCATTTGTTCAGTGTGGCTTCTGGGCTCCAAATTGCGCTTACGACAAAGAACTGTGAAAATCTATGCAGCGAGTAATTAACCTCCGAAGGGTTTGGGGTCTATAGTGCAGCAATAGTAAAGGGGGTGATGAATCACAGGAGGCCTGAATCGAGAACAGCGGACCGCTTCGATTTGGCGCAAAAACCTTCGTAGCCCTTCCTGCATGCGTAAGTTCACTCGCAGCGTTTTGCCAGGGCGACCGTCTGTCACGGAAGCCACGCTGAAAACTAAAACCGAGATCAGCGTCGCACGCACCTAACCCTTTGCCCGGTGACCCTTGATGCAAGATAGAGCAGGACAATCTTAAACTTCACAGCCCTGCAGATCTTAAGACCTGACAGCTGAGGCTAAGATAGCGGCCTTAATATTAGTCTTAAGACCTGACAGCTGAGGCTAATATAGCGGCCTTATAAAAGTATAGAAAAGGCTTGGGTTTATTACGTACGCCTAATAATCATAATCAGGAACCCCACAATAGTACATATTGATTACAGGGTGTAGAGCAGCCTGAAACCCTATAAACCCTAAACCCCGAAACCCTAAAGCCCCAACAGTTCGAAGCCCGAAACCCGTTTGGGAGCCAGGATCTCGGATGACGCTAGCACACCTGACATGTGCAATATCAGTTGTAATGGCGTAGTATTCGTACGAAAACAAGCAATAATAGTACTGCCAAGAGTACTGGTATTAGTAAGAATGAAAGTACAAGTAATGTATAGTAATACTAGTACTAGTTACTAGTTACGAGTACTGGTACTAGCAATAAACTAGAAATAAACCCTATATACTATAAACCCAAGTGGATTTCCGGGCTAGAGCAATACTCTCTGAAACCGCTATACCCTGAAGCCCAGAACCCGAAACCCTGAACC